CCCCGGCCCCCGCGTCCCGTGACGATTTGCAATGGCTGCGGGAGAAATGACTCGAGACCAGGGATTTGTACAGCGACGCACAGAACAACAATTCTATTTGCACAGCGTTATAACATCACTACACACAAAATGTGATAGGACTCGACACAAACGACACAAACACGGGCCCAGCGCAGAGCAGGGTCAAATATCGACAAATCAGTAAACATATAGTATGACTAGAGAGTACAAAGCACGGTGGGGGTGAACGGTTATGGAAAGCTGGGTGGTGCAAGCGCCCCGCTCATAAGGGCGCAGCACGTACGTACTATTTACAGTGAGGGGGCGCGGGGGGTGATGGCGGAGTGGAGGTGGGGAGCGGCCCGGGCGCGGGGTCGCTACCCGCCGGGGGGGTCATGCACCCCGTTACACCCTAGTACACTTTGAGCTGGTTCTTCTCGTCGAAGCCCGCCGAGTGGCCGGCGTTGCGCACGATGAAGCTCGCGCCGTCGTAGTGCATGCGGCGCTCCCCCCGGCGCACGAACAGGTGCGACGTCTGGCCCAGGGACGCCGTGCAGTGCAGGAAGGGCGTCGTCAGCGACGCGGACCCGTTGGACGGCGACGTGCGCACCTGGTACTTGTTGCTGTTGCGAGCGACCCTGTGGGGCACGGACAGAGCCGGTGACCTTGCGGTGACCGCGCGTCGGCCGAGGGACACGGTTGGGGAAGGACCAAAGGGAGCGTGGGGAGCGAACCTGACGAGCCCGTCGGCAGTCTGCGACACCCGCACGCCGTTGATGAGCCAGTTCTCGACGCCCTCGTCCGTCACCCAGTACTGGCCGGACTCCAGCAGGTTGATGGCCTCCGACACGCAGGCCGGCCCGTGGCGGGAGTCGTTGTAGAAGACGGACAGCGACAGGTCTTGCGACATGTCCGAGAAGTTGTCCGTGGTGGTGCGCGTCCCCGCCGTGTCCACCAGGTACACGAGCGCGCACTGCTCGGAGGTGAAGCTCACCCCCTTGTACCACATCTTGGCGAACCTGAAACACGGCGGAGCCAGGCGGACCCGTAGAGACGCTATCGCTGCCATGCTAAGCGCCGCGCTGCACCGCGCTGACGGCAACCTGACTCACTTGTTGTTGCCCCGCGAGTCGTGCGCCAGGATCTCGACGCGGCTGCCGTACTGGTACGTCCTGCCGTTGGGGTGCAGCAGCGCCGCCGAGGAGCCGTTGCCGCCCAGCGCCAGCACGATGTTGTTCTAGGAGCAACACGACGTTGGAGCTTACAGGTCAGGAGCAGGGCAGGGTGGCCAGGCACGGCCCGGCCCAGGCCCCGGCGGCCGCACCTTGAGGTTGATGACGCGGATGGCGCGGTCCACGCTCATGTCGACGCGCACCCTGTCGTGCAGCCGGAGGGACATGGTGCCGTGCGGGGTGGCCACGGCCGTGCCCGAGGGGCCCGCGCCCGCGCCCGCGGCGTCAGCCTCCCGCCAGGGGCAGGACTCGCGCCACTCCTGGTCATGGACACACGAGGTTACCGACACAGCCTCGGTGGCCTCGGCCAGCACCGCCTTCGCAGGACCCGGCAGGACCACTTACCGAGTAGATGCAGGGCTCGTCCCCCGGGAAGAAGGGGAGCGGCGGCAGCAGCGGCAGGGGCGTTGGTGGCAGCGGGGGCGGCGCCAGGGCGCCCGCCAGCGCGCCGGCCGGGGACATGGCCTGCTTCGGGACGCCGGGCGAGGGCCGCGGCTGCCTCCACAGCGGGGCGGGAGTGATGCTGCCCGCCGGCCAGGCCTCGAGGACCCCGTCGTACATCGGGTGGAAGTCGCCAAAGCGCTGCGGCAGCCAGAGCTTGTCGCCACCCTCTCACCTTCGGAGTCCGGGGCCCGGCAGAGCCTCGGCAGAGCCGTCAGCCGAAGCCTACCTGGCAGTCATCCTCGGCCGCGAAGGGGTGCGACGCGCACGCGGGCCGCGGCCGCACGGAGAGGGCCGGCACGGCGCCCAGAGAGCTGAGCCGGAACATGTTGTCCTTCCTGAAGTCGGCCGCAGCGAAGCTAGTCATGCCTGGCGATGCGTGTGGACGGCGAGGGCGAGGGGCCTCCACATAGAGGCCGCAGCAACACTGGCCGCCCCAGCTGGCCGGCATTGTTGTGCCCTGTGGCCTGCTGCGCCTGCTGCTGCTGCTGGCCGCGCCTGGGCCTGCTGAGCGCCTACCGCCCGCAGTCCGCGATCATTGCAGAAGGCAATAGAGAGGGGCGTAAGTGAGCCAGCGGGGAGTGCGCGCCACGCTCAAATCAGGGGGGCGCTACTGAACAGCCCTTTCCTACAAGAACAAAATAAAGTGAAAACTAACTTAAAATTTTGATTGTTTTACTTTTCAAGTCTAAGATATGTGCTGAATTTGGTAATTTTCATGATGTACTTATAAGTACAGAATAAGAGACTCTTCAAAGTGAATGAAATTAATCCATTCCCAGTAGTTCATTTATTTCTTTGAGAGGGACAAGCAGCCTAAGAATTATAATTTATTGTCTAGGCTATGCTGTCAATAGGATTCTTAGCACCGCTGATAGGTTGAATTTTTGTTAAAAGACGATGATGGGTACAAATATTTATTTATTGACAGATAGACTACTACAAAAGAGGAACAATGTTGTTGGTCTAGCTAATCTTACAGCAGGTTGTTCATGTCGATCACCATCGGTTAAGAGCAATTAGTCTAGAACAGTTTCATTTTACAAGAAGTAGTTCTAAAAGATTTCAAGACAGTCAAAACTGGTGTTTTATCATAAGGAAACACCACTGATCAATATGCAAGCACACTTTACTCTTACACACATCATAAACTTAAAATCACAGTTCACTTTCCTCCTATGAGTCTTCTTCTAGTATGGCTACTTCAAACAAAGGGATGTTTCGACTAGCAAAAAATACCATCCATGTACATTAAATTGTATGTAAAAAAACAACAAAAATGATTAAAATTGATCTTAAAATTCTATGCTATTTGTTAAAAAAATATTGAATCAAGTTCACAAGTATAGTGAGAAACGTGTAAAGAAAAGAAGAGGGGGAGGGGGGCATTGCATTTCACTGCTGACTGTTGGCCTAGTGCTGACGTCCCTTCCACACTCGCTCTTGGCAGTGGAGCAGTGTTCCAGGCCCACAGGCCTTGGCATGTTCCTCACTCTGGCACCAGTATCCAGGACCCCATGTACACTTGCGCCCACCAAGAAGCTCAACTGATCCTGAGCCTCGCACACACACAGCAATTTTTTCACAAATCAAGTGGGTTACACCAGGGGTCTGTAAGAAAGAAAAGATGGTCATTCATTAGAACAAAAGAGGCTTAAGCTTATTTTTTGGGACAAAGCAACAACTTATTAATACTAACCTTGGCAATGATGTTCTGAATGCTAGGTCCATAAACCTTGATAAAGTTACGGCATTTGCCGTACTGCTTTGCGGGCAACACTCCACAAGCCCGGATCAAGAGGTCATCAATCTCGTCTTCAACTTTGGGGTCACTCAGGTAAGTGTCCAGAGCTTGAACGACTCCTTCACAAAGAGCGCATTCTGCAACATTTTTCTTTGTGTGCTGCTGAAAAAGACTTAAGGCAACTCTGTCATTGTGAAGAGAGTTTGGTTTGCAGAGTTTCAACTCAGTGCACACTAATTTAGGATCCAACTCTTGAGCCAAAAGTGTGAGAACCAAGTCAGCATACTGGTCAACAAATTTGTTGCACTGGGGTACCACTGTTTTGGGCATGTAACTGCAAACTTTGTGAACAACCTCCTTAATTTCTGCCTCTGATGCATTATTCTTCAACATGGAGTCGATACGGGACATAGCAAATTCACAAATAACACACTGGGGATCATCTTTGATGTTTTTCTGGAGTTTCTGGTTCTCATACTGGGGAACTTCATTGGTAAGAATGTCTCCAAAAACAACTTCCTCAGTATTCTTGGTAGCACTGCAAAGCTTGATGTATACACAAACTTCCTGGGGAGTGAAGTCAGCAATCAACATGTCCACCAATTGAGTAGAGTAAGTATCAACAAAATTATCACATTCGCTAACAAGTGATTTAGGCAAATGCAAGCAAAGTGATTCAAGAGCAGCCTTCACAGATTCTTCAGTTTTGTTGTCTTTCACAATAGTTTCCAACTGTTCAACAGCAAGAAGGCACAGTGGGCAGCCTGGCTTATCATCAAACTTCTCATCATTACCAACCAGAAGAATGCGGCTGTTGTCCTTTGAAGGACAGAAGCCCATGCCAGGGCAAACCAGAGATGGGTCAATTTCTTGTACGATAATAGCAACAAAAGCATTTCCGTAGGCATCTACAAAGTCCTTGCATTGATTGTTAATTGTGGCAGGAAGGCGATCACACGCTCCTTCCACAACAGCTTTCACCTTCTCAACTGTTTTTTCACTTGCAAGTTCAGTCTGAACAAAGTGCAAGAAGTACTCACAGAACTCACATATTTCCTTGTTGCTGCCAATATTGACAAGTACTTGAGGGGTCATTCTCTCAATGGGAAGCTGGTATGATGCCGGGTCCTGCACATCAATCTTTGCAGAATCAGAGCTCACAGAAATCTCAACAACAGGATTCTCTGAATTTTGTGATTCAAGAGATCCGGACAAAATTTCCTTCACATTCATCTCAGCTGGTAGAAGAGGCCAGATTGGAGCATGAGCAGACACTCCCGGACCAGGGCAAAGACCAGCGAAGGAGCAAATCTCCTGGCCATTCAAATTATTCACAAGGAAGTTGTAAAGCATGCCATAATATTCAGTGACAATAGTAAGGCATTCATCCTTGTACTTGGGCTTCATCTGTTTGCACAAGCCTTCCATCACCTGAAAAGCACAGCAAAAACATACATAAGTAAATGGAAAAAGATAAGAACATAAATTTCCTATAGCTGGGACCATTGTGTAACATTTACCTGTTGGAATTCAGCCTCAGTAGTGTTGGCCACCAAGATGTCCCGGAGATGTTGAACCATCCTTTCACAAAATTGGCAAGTCATGTTATCTGCAAGAACTGGCACAATGCCAACCTGTCCAACTGGGGTCACATCAACATTGAC